TCTCTTAATAAGCACCGCGCTCATTTAAGGTAACTCTGACTACGTGGTACTACTCCAAATTGAATGCAATGAACATGACTAGAAATGGACGTACCGAACTACTAGCTCACGTAAGGACATGGCGCGTTGTCATGTGCAGCACAAACGACAACGGAGGATAATCGGAGGTCCAAAAAAGGATGGATCGTCCACCTAGCAACAACGAATTTGACGGAGAGAGAGATGGAGGCGCTCACGCGGTTGCGAGTGAAACTTGGGAATAGCCACGTCATAGCAAGTTCGTTCAACGAAGACACAAAAGAAGAATTAACGATGACAGTTAACGATTCTAGCTTGCTAATGGTGGAAAAGAAGTGGCTGAACTCGCAGATAGTAAATTTTTATCTTAACCTTCTCCGACTGGACAATGAGTGTCGTGTGAAGCACGTTAATTGCGACTCGAAGAACGAAAACGTGGTTAGAACTGGGAAGGGGCGCATTCCTACAATAGCAGTGTTAAACTCATTTTTTTTTTCGAAACTATTTGATAGCGATATGAAGTTCCAGTACGAAAAGGTTAAAAGGTGGTTCACAGAGATCGTGATCAACGACATGGATTTGATCATTGCACCTTTCCACGTCGCGCACAACCAGCATTGGACACTCGTAGTGGCAGACCTACGGCGTAGGAAAATAGAGTACTACGATTCGCGGACGGCGGATCGTGAACTCGCGGCGAAGGTGACAGGGGGGTTTGCAAGATTTCTGTACATGAGGTCAGTCGAACAAGGCAAAGAAATCGACACTGCTAACTTCAATCATATATGGGAAGTGGAAGGCATTCCAAAGCAGCGCAACTTCAACGAGTGCGGTGTGTTTATGCTGACATATGCATCACTATTGGCGAGAGGGTTTCTTCCACCTTTCAGGTTCACATCAGATGACACGAAGAAAATACGATGCCGGATAGCTTTCGACGTAGCTGTTGTGGAGTAGACGAATTTGTTCCTTTTAGCAGCTCCTACTAATGATATAAATACTACTGTAGCTTTAGCATTGCTTACCTCAGTAGCATATTTTTATGCAGGACTACGTAAGAAGGGATTAAGTTATTTTGGAAAGTATATTAAACCAACTCCTATTTTATTACCGATCAATATTTTAGAAGATTTTACTAAACCACTCTCATTAAGCTTGTTTTATTTTGTTTATAATGATCTAAATCAATATATTTTTACTCTTCAATAGAACATATAAAGCAGCAATTACAGAAGCAGCAGAAATCAAAGGATTCATAAAGATCTCCTCACTTAAGGGATTTAACAAACAATTATAATGGGTCCCTATTATCCCTGAGAGTACTAACTAATTTGTTTGCTGCTAGAAGTATTGCGAAAATTCTTCTCGATGAAGGATTTATAGAAAATTTTCGTGAAGTTGTTATTTCTGATAAGAATTATTCTTTATTAACTTTAACATTAAAATATCAAGGACGAGCACGTGAACCATATATAACTACTTTAAGACGGATTAGGAAACCTGGTTTAAGGAGTTACTCTAGCTATCAAGATATACCTAAAGTGATGGGAGGCATGGGTGTCGTTATACTTTCAACTTCTCAAGGGATAATAACGGATCGCCAAGCTCGGCAACGCAAAATTGGAGGAGAAGTTTTATGCTATATATGGTAAAAAAAGATATTAATGAACAGGCGCAGGATTGGGTCACGGAACAGAAGCTAAGGATACTTCTCCCCAGGATACATAACATCAGGCCCCACTTGGCAACTCTAAAGGCAGCAATCCCAGAAACCTGGAAAGCTCTGCTGACAGGAGAAGCGCTACCGTACGAGAACACATGGGTGAGAGCCCCGACAACAGAAGAAAAATTTTGGAGGATTCTTGGACCGGATCTGCAACAAGGTATGAGAATCCAGGAGTGGAAACCAACGACGCATTCGAAAGCGGGGCAGGAGCTGAACAGGCAACTAACTCTAATCGAGGAGAGAACGGAGACTTTGAGTCGAAATCTAGAGGAAGTGAGGGTGTGGATGACTAAGGACAGACGAGGGGTTGAGCAATGCTCCGGTGGAGTCCCCGCTGCCGGATATAAAGTGGAACCATTTAGTTACGGTTGGAAGTTGAGGAACCACCAAACAGAGTTCCTACCTTTGACACAGTACTCGACAAGAATTGGCAGGGAGATACAGCGATCTGGTTCAAAGAAAACTCCAATAGTGGTAGCCCACAGAAGATGGGAAGATTACTGTCCGAGTCTGTTGAAAACACGGGATTTGCTTTGGTTACAATCTCACTAGGAGAGTTATCAGGGCCTGGACATCAACCAAACGTGCTCTCGATGTAAATGGGCATGGGAAACGACAGCCCACCTCTGGGTTCATTGTCCAGTCTCTAAAAGACTGTGGCAATGGTGGAGGCATAACTGGCAGGCATTCACAGCAGACACTACGCCGCAAGCATTGGACTGGACCGACACATGGATCCTGACTGGGATAGACTCAGGCCAGAATTCCTTTTCCAGAGGATGGGGGTATGTAGCTCAAACATGCAGAGGAGAGTTGATGGGGGTAATTTGGCAGGTCAGGAACGCAGCACTGTTTAAGGGTGACCACTGGTCGTTCCCCCACACTCTTTCGATTGTAAAGTCTCAGCTGAGGAGAGTTATCAGGGCGGATTGGCACTCCAAGAATAAAGTTTGGTTTCTGAATACTTGGGCATTGGCAAACCGGTTGACAGCTATCTCACGGGATTCGGATTTGGTAATAGGAACATGGTTGAACTCTTGAGAGCCTCAGACAGGGGAAGAGATCCTGTTACGGAGGTCCGAGCTCGCAGTTAGAATAGGGGGGAGTTGGACTGCACTGAGAAGCCGTGATCAGACCTTCGCACATTGACAGGCTGAACTTATGGGATCGAGGACAGGTTTTGTCTCCTTAGTATTGGTGCTTAAGGCACGGATTTGAGTAGCAGTCCACTTCGAAGGATAAGGTAGTGAGGTCAAGGGACGCTGGACCCGGTTTCCAGCAGGTCACCTGTTGATACTCCGGATAGAGTTGCGAGGTTCGGGCCCGCAGACTAGTATAGGGTAGGAACGGTACTGCATTGGGAGGCCGTGTTTTAGGCCCCTG